GTGCCATCCTGTGCTAGCTCCCTCCCTATACCATACTTTTGCCTTCCGGCAAAAATGTCTCAGACATGCAGTCCCTTAGCGGCTCCTCCTGCCCCTGATGACCTGGCACTTGGGTGGCTGGCTGGTTTGTGCTTTCTCACTGCCCCCCCTCGGTGTGTGCTCCAGGAGAACAGGTCTGTCACCTAGCCTGCACCGCTTGCCGCTGAGTGAGGATCTATATGTATCGAGTGAATGGAGTCACGGTGTGGTCCCTGACCAGGAAGCCTCCCCTCGCCCTAGCGTTGTGGGCTGATACCTCCCCTGAGCATTTGCAGCTATGGGACTTCCTCTGCTGACATTTCCAGAAGTTGTATCACCATGTGTGTAGTAATTGCAGGTTACTCTTCCTCCTTAGCTACAGGACAAAGAAACTGTTTTGACCCTGAGTCAGCCCAGCTCAGAGTCAGGAACCAATAGGCCTCAGTGGTGAACTGATTTTATGTACCGATTTGGCCATGCTATGGTGCCCAGTGGTTTGATCACGCACCAGTCCAGAAGTTGCTGTGAGGTATTTCGGAGACATGACTAAGGTAAGGCAAGTAACCGAAACGTAAGGGACCAATGTCCAATCAGTTCAGCAAAAACAGGGTTCTGAGAGGGAAGAATTCTATCCTAAGACTGTAACAGAACTGCCTGAGTTTCTTACCTGCCCTAATTTTAGCCTGTCCAGCCCCAGATGCCCCTGTGAACTCATCCCTTAATACAAATCTCATTATACACTCACACTTCCTATTGCTGTTTCTCTGGAGACACCTGACTGATTCAGGCACCATTGATTGATTAATTAAAAACTCATTCATAAACTGGGTGTGGTAGCACATGCCTGTAATCCCAGCACTTGGGAGGCTGAGGCAGGAGGATCACTGTGAGTTCGAGACCAGCCTGGGGTACCTAGTGAGTTCTAGGTCAACCACAGAGTGAGACCCTGACTCAAAAACAAAACAAAACAAAACAAAAAACCTCATGCATTAAGACAGATCTGGGGAGGGGACCTTTCCAAATATGGCACATTTTACCTTTTGACCCAAATGTCCAGATCTCCTCATCGTCGAAGTGAGTGTCCCCAGAGATGGGGTGTTCCCCGGGGAAAAAGGCATGGGCTAAGGTGCCACCTGGCCCGTCAAAGGGGTAACTGTCTTGGTGGTATGCCCGGGCGAAGTCGATGAGAATGTCAGGCTCCTGCTGCTGAGGGGACACCTCCTGGAAACTGAGGTCTGATTCAGCGGCCCAGGCAGTCAGGGCATAGCTCATAAGGGTCCGCACAGTCTGCGGGCTCAGCTGTGAGCTCTGTGGAAAGGACTGGACCCTGGGAAGAGAGGAGGGAGCAGGTGGCTGTGGCAAGAGAGGGTGGTGCAGGAGGCTCTGCCCAGCAGGCAGGCCCAGGCAGGGGGTACCGGGACCTACCTCCAGGTCAGCTTCTGCTTCTTCCACACAGTCCCCCCTAGAGCATAGCGTCTGCGACGGCGCCTGACGAGCCCCGCTGGCCCCAGCACATCAGGCAGGGAGCAGCGGGGTTTACGCATGGTAGCGACTGTCACTGGGTCTGCAGGAAATGGGGTGGGGTGGGGGGTGGCATCAGCAGTAGGAAAGCTTGCCCAAATCAGGCACTAGTTAACTTTTTTACATAGGGAAACTGAGGCTCAGAGAGGTTAAGAAATTTGCCCAAGATCTGAATTCAAGCTGTCTGACTCTGGAAGCTAGCTTGTATCAGACTGTTGTGGTAATGTCCCTAATGGACACTGCCCTTTTTTATTTTATTTTATTTTTTGGTACTGGGGATCAAACTCAGGACCTTGCATTTGCAAGGCAGGCAGCGGAACCACTGAGCTAAATCCCTGGCCTGACAGTGCCCTTTCTACCTGGCCTGGATGTACTGGCTGCTCCAGGGGGCTCAGGCCTGGTCCCCTTTCCAGAGCCCTGGAAGGTGGATTCAAGAAAGGAGCCCCAGGGGCAGAATGAGTTTCCTTTCCTTTGGAGCTGGAACTCCCTGGGCTGCCTACACTTCATCTCATCCCTCAGAGTGCTTATGACAGGCTGATCTCTCTCTCTCTCTCTCTCTCTCTCTCTCTCTCTCTCTCTCACACACACACACACACACACACACACACACACACACACACACACACACACACACACCCCTTAGGTCTACTTGGAATCCCCTTTCCAGCTCAGCTCCATTTCCATTAAGGTCAAACCACATCTGGGGTTGAGCTGACAAACAGTAACCGAGAACATATAGATGCCCAGACACTGTTCAAGTATTTTCCAAGAATGGACAGGACAGAGAAACCCTCCCTATAGTAAGCCAGGGTCCTTCCAGCTCTCTCAAGCTCTCTCTTCCTCCCTGTTTGACCCCACAGACACACCCTCAGTTCAACTACTTCTGATCACCCCAGCCACCATCATCCCTGGCCGACTCCTACAAGGGCCTCCTTCTTGTTCTCCACCAGCCACTTTCACAGCAAACGCAGGAAGCTTGAAACAGCAAATCACATAGAATTGTTTCCCTTCTTTAAACCCCTCCTGTTGGTTTCTTATCACCCTTGGAATCAAACCCAACACCTTTTAAGGTCCCCTAACTAGGCCCTTGCCTATGATCTTCAGTTTTTTCACTCCAGACAAGTAAACTTATACTTGCCACAGGGCCTTTGCTGGGACACTTTCTCCCACATTTTCCCATGACTGGCTCCTCCTCTTGGTAGTTACACCCCATATGACATCTTTACAAAAGGCCTGCCCTACCCAGACCAGGCTCTCGATATCATTAGCATTTTATTTTCTTCAACACACTTAGGCTGGGGATGCAGCTCAGCAGTAAATCTCTTGGCATACATGAGACTTGAGTTCAGTCCCCTCACCTCAAAAACAAACAGATATACACAGCACTGTCTGAAATCGTCTTGCATATTTATGTTCTTGATTTATGCTTCTCTTGCCCCAGGACATCAGCTCCGTGGGAACCAGGACTTGATCTACTTTTTCCATGGATGTAACAGTGGGCCTCAAATGGCTCGGTGTGTAAGAGATTCCCAAAAAAGCTCTCTGGAAAGACGAATACCTGAGAACCTCCAGGGTTGAGTAGGGACCTAAGATCAGCATCCTCATAGCGCCTGAGATTGGGGGTGGGGGTGGGGGTGGGAGGATTTTTAGGACGGCCAGGCGGGGGACAGAGGCAGGCCTGTAGAACTGGTCGGGGGCCACCTACCCATGAGGCCTGTTTCAGGCAACCCGGCAAATCTCTGCATGACTTTGATGGCATCCCGAAGCTTCACGGGGCTCTGCAGCTGGGCCTGGGCCGGATGAGGTGGGGGCAGGTAGCCATAACGGGTCAGCCAGTCCTAGCCCATGCGAAGGTGCAGATGAAGCCAGAAGGGTAAGGAGGATGGAGTTCTCCCATCCCACCACCATCCTGGAAGCCGCGTCCTCCCAGCATCCAGAGCCCAGAGACCCCCGGCCCGATGCCGAATTGCTCCCCTTTCCTCAAGGTCTCCACCCCGCAGCGCTGGGTTCGCAGGTCTCTGTCTGAAACTAGGAGTTGGAGCTCCACCCCCTGCCCATCCTCACTGCTTTCTAGAACACCAAATCCAGACCTCCAAATCAGGGGCCCAAACTTCCTGAGAGATCCAACAATCGGGGCGTCCCCAGACACCAACTTCAGCCACTGTGTGATCATGTGAATCCGGCCCGCTCTTTCCTCCAGACATAGAAGTCCATCGCCCCACCAGGCTCTCCCAGCCTCCCTGCGGATCCCAGGAGTCAAGGACCCCAGCTCACCACGCCCAGGCTCTCAAAGGGCTGACCCGGCCACCCTGGGGAACTGCGGGGAGGTGAGGGGCGCAGAGAGGAGCAGAGGACCTGGCGCAGGGTAGGAAGGGTGGGTAGGAGGGGACCCCGGATCCAGAGGGCACGTTGGAGGGAGGGAGGAGGTGCAGGGCAGCGACAGCGGAGGGTCCTTGGGGGCCGGGGGTGGAGCGCAGGGCCCAGGGGA